CAGCACTCTTCGCCAGCACCACAACTCAAAAGCATCAACTCTTCTTCAGTCTTCCTTATTCATCGTCCAACTCTCACATGCATATGAGGCAAATGAAAATGCCATGGCTTGTTTCAAGCACACCTTAGTCTTCAAGGAGACATCTTTGTTCTTCAGTACTCGAAAGAAGTCCTTTGCAGCCAATTTGCCCAGTGCTGTACATCATGCCTAAGGCACTTGACTGCTAACCAGAAGGCTGGCGGTTCAAATCCACCAGCCACTCCTCGGAAGGAAGGTTGGGCAATCTACTTCTGTAGTGATGCTGCCTTGGAAACCCAAGAAGGGGTCGCTATGAGTCGGGTCCAACTCGATGGCATGTAACAACAACAACAACAACGTATGTCATCTGATGTCCTGACTGCTGCTTCCATTGGCATTGATTGTAAGCACTAAGCAATGTAAAGTCTTTGGCAACTTCAATCTTTTCTCCATTTATCATGATGCTGCTTATAGGGCCATTTGTGAGGATTTTTGTTTTCTTTATATTGAGATGTAATCCACACTGCAGACTGTAGTCTTCAATCTTCATCAGTAAGTGCTTCAAGTCATCTTCACTTTCAGCAAGCAAAATTGTGTCATCTGTGTATCTCAGGTTGTTAATGAGCCTTCATCCAATCCAGATATCACATTCTTCTTCATATAGTCCAGCTTCTTGGATTATTTGCTCAACATACAGATTGAATAAGTATGGTGAAAGGATACAACCCTGACACACTCCCTTCTTGATTTTAAACCATAGAGTATCCCTCTGTTCTGTTCTAATGACAGCCTCCTGGCCTATGTATAGGTTCCTCATGAGTACAATTAAGTGTTCTGGAATTCCCATTCTTCTCTATGTTACCCATAATTTGTTATGATCCACACAATCAAATGCTTTTGCATAGTCAATAAAACACAAGTAAACGTCTTTCTGGTATTCTTTGCTTTGAGCCAAGATCCATCTTACATCAGCAGTCATATCCCCCATTCCACGTCCTCTTTTGAATCTAGCTTGCATTTCTGGAAGTTCTCTGTCAATATACTGCTGGACCATTTTTGAATTATTTTCAGTAAGGTTTTACTTATATGCAATATTAATGATATAGTTCAATAATTTCCACATTCTATGGGATCACCTTTCTTTGGAATGGGTACAAATATGGATCTCTTCCAGTCAGTTGGCCAGGTAGCTGTCTTCAAAATCTCTTGGCAGAGTTGCATGAGTGTCTCCAGTGGGGCATCCATTTGTTGAAACATCTCCATGGGTATTCCTTCAATTCCTGGAGCCTTGTTTTCACCAATTCCTTCAATACAGCTTCAACTTCTTTCAGTACCATTGGTTCTTGATCATATGCCACCTCCTGAAATGGATGAACATCGACCAATTCTTTTTG